CCCACATGGATTCGGACTGATGACAGCAATTCAGAAAAGGACGTAGGTTGAGGCTTGACTCCTCAAACACCTACATTATGTCAAGATCCTACAATCAATATGTTGACTTAATCGGAAAACACAAAATAGACCTAGTCGAACTTGTTTCGACTAAGTAGTTCGTGAAGTCCTGTGGACGTTGGAACACAAAGACTTGACACTATACTCGACCAAAGCACATATGGGAGTTCACATAAATACATATAAGGATTGACCAAGTCAAACTCACATTAAAACGAAAAGCAAGTCGATTCCCGATTTTAAATTTCAAAATCATATTTGAAAATATTGATCATTAATCACATGAAAATGAATGGTCAGGCTACCCTACGACTTAAGCTCTGAAATTTTACAGAAAATTACATCTCGCAGTAATAAGTAAAACCATAAATTTTCAACTTTAAACTCAACGCACATTAATATATAAAATTCCAACAAGAAATCGGCAAAAATGCACATGAATTAATATCTTAACCAAATGAACGAGTCAGGACTTGAAAATTTAACACAACAAGATACAATATGATAGAGACAACATGTAAAAATCTCGGCCTTGGATATTAACTGTGCTAATTTTAAAAATTCCGACAAGATTCAGCAGTTATAAACTTAAACTAAAACAGAATTAAATTGGAGTCCAAAAGTTTCAATCTTTTAACAGCATGAATATACACATAAAATAAGCATCTCAGTCAAGTTTCAGAAGTTTTCAATAAATAACCGATTTTTAATAATTCATACAACTTTCAGCAGAAATAGAAAACAAATCATTAACTATATCAAATTCTGTCAAAAAATTCTAACAATTTAACACAGCATATATATACATAAGAGGCACAACATATTAAAATTTCAGCTCATTTAAATCACAAACCAATTTATTAAGCCTTAAACAATATTCTGATCAGAATTCACTTTAATTATTAAAAATAGCTACAGGCCTCTAACAATTACGAAATTTTTACACAAGGCTGAAAATGAAAAGATAACATATCCATCAAAATTTCAAGTCATTCGGAGTAGTGTTCGATTTTAAAAAATTCAAACACCAAAACAGCGATATATATGCTCGATAATTTAACAATTAATTCAAAACACGAAATTTCTCGTCCGAGGCCTTCTCGTAAGACCAAGGACTCGACATCGTTCTAATTTTCACTGACTTACACGACTTTCGAGGTTTCGCTCAATTCTTTAAGAATCGAAGAGATCCCGAACACAAGAACGACACATAAAATCATATCCTTCACCAAATATCATATCGAACACAATCGCACAATATACACATCTCGCATATCAAATCGCAAATCACACATATTCATAAATAACATAAACGATTTAAACGAGACGGGATTGAGCCTTTTTACCGTTCTTGGGAATCGAACGAATACAGACGAACGTAAGGTTGACGGGCTCGATTTGTGGTAGCTAGCGGCGACGAACGAGCTCGACGGCTCGAGGAGGATCAGCGGCTTCAAGGGTGGTTGCTCGCGGTGGCCTGAACGCACGATGGGCGGAGCAGAGGCAGTCGGGAGTCGCCGAAAGAAGGTTCACGCGAGAACGATGACGGGAGACGGATCGTGACTGGTCGCCGGAAGTCGCAGGGCTGCTGCAAAGGGGAGGTCGCCGGAATCGCGGGCCTGCTGTGCACCATCACGGCTGGGCAGGGCTTCGCGAAAAGAGGAACTCGCCGACGAGGGGGTTGGCCGCTGAACTTTGCCGGAAAGGAGGGCCCTGCGGATCTGATTTCTGCGTGGAGGAGATGATGGTGGTGACGAGTGAAAAATCGGGTTAAGGAGAGGATGGCGATGGCGATTAGCAGAGAAAGGGAGAGGGTTGATGATGACGATGATGATTGAGAGGGACGATCTGAAAGTCGCGATCGTGAAGAGAAAAAAGGGAAAGGGACGAGATATAATGACTGCGGTTAATGTTCTCAACTTATGAGTGAACGAGAAAATACAAAGGGTTAAGAATAGATTAGAGTTAATTAATCTTGTCTTGCAAAACAAGACTCACACAACACACACACGCGGGCCGGTTCGGTTTGGGCTCGGGCTTGGGCCGGATTATCGGGCTCGCGGGTTTCGGTTCAATGAAACGAATCGGCCCTCGGGCCCGACTACGTAACTTAAATACGGTTCTCTCGGGCTCAACCAAATCGCACAAATAAAATAATTAAGCCGGGCATATTTATATTTATAATACACATAATTATTTTTTTTAAAATAATAATAGTATTTATAAAAATACAAATACACATTTAATTAGATAAAAATAACATTTAGACAATTAGGCAATTAATACATTTTGACAAATAAATCATACAAGTCATTTATTAATTATTATAGAATTCCACAATTAATAAGAACAACAAATAAATAATAATAATAATAATAATAATAATAATAATAATTAATCCTCAAAATTCCATAATTCAAACGGGGCATTACAACGCGACTCGACTCGACCCGAGTTGTGACCTAACCCGATTCGACCCAAGTCCTTGCAACCCGAACCCGATCCAACCGGCCAGAGCCCGATAAGCCCGATCCGGTGGTCCGTTCGAGATTCAACACTCGATTAGAGTCGACAAAGGCCAAACCCTTCCCTCGATTGGGTTGTGGTAATCAGACGATCTCCATCAAAGGAAATCAGAAACGTCTCTAAGTCGGCAAAAATATTAAACGGTAATTTCCTAACCCTAACTATAGATTCCGCTGTGTTAGGGTTTATTTTTCCAAAATTCAAACGTGCATGTTGTTGTCGTTCCTAATAGAACCCAATAGTACTAGTGTTCGTGGTAGAAGATGAGGTGCTAGTGTTTGTGGTAGAAGTTGGGGATTCTAAGGAGTGCAATAACCGGATAATAATCGACGAGCACATGTAGGAAAGAATACATAATGAATAAATGAAATTTTTTATCACAATAACAAGGGCAATAGTAATGAGATGAGGTTGGCGTACCCATAAAGCTGTCCGACATGATGTAAGGGAGGTGATGAGGTCGACGTGCTCGGTTGGTGGACGGCGCTTGCTCGTCGGTGTGCTGTGAGGTCGGCGGCTAGGCTAGAGCTCGCCAGCGTGGGCACGAGGTCGGCGGGTAGGCGCGATCTCGTCGACGGTGGCGCGTAGTCGGCGAGAAGGTGAGCCCGTGGAGATGGTCGGCGCTCGACAACGTGGGGTGAGCTCGGTAGAAGGCGCACGACAGATGAGGGGTGGTCGGTGCTCGGCGGTGTGATGTGAGCTCGTCAGGGTGAGGATCGCCGGATTCCGAGAAGAGATCGAAGACTTTGTAGAGAGAAATTATGTAATATAAAGAAGGTGGAGAGGAGAAGAGAGAGTTAAGGTGAGGAATTATGAAAGTGGGAGACGAGTATTTATAGAAGAAGGAAAATGTTGGTTGGTGGGCCTTGGATGATCTTGGCCTTTCATTTGAAATATTATCTAAGGTGGATATTGAATCTTGGGGATCAAGTTGGATGATGGTCGGTGTTTCATTTGAAAGAGGACAACATGTGGGGTTTTAGGTGCGCACATGTGCCTAGGTGACATGATGAAGACCTATGTGTAGTAGTTAGGTGATGGAGCGTCTCGGCGCGTCGGCGTGCACCTCAGTAGGTTTCGCGACAGCTCGGCAGGTCGACGCTAGGCCCAGCTCGGCATCTCGGGCTGCTCGGCATCGCAGGCGGCTTGGCATCGCGGGGGGCTCGGCATCGTAAGCAGCTCGGCAAGTCGGCGCCAGGCCCAGCTCGGCATCGCGGGGGTCTCGGCGTTGCGGGGGGCTCGACATCGCAAGTAGCTCGGCGTAAGAGGCAGCTCGGCCTCCCAACACAGCTCGGCACCCGCGTGTGGCTCGACATCCTCGTGTCGGCTCTGCACCCGCATACGGCTCGGTATTTGCACCAGCTTGGCATCCCCGCGCCAGCTCGTGGTAGCCCGGCAGCTCGGCACTCGACTCAGTATATAGCAGGGGTGCGATTACTCACCACGACATTAGTACTTTTTCCATTTCTTAGAACAAGTTGCGGTAGCTTGTCCAAGAATGAGGGGGCTAGATGATATAGTCATAAGAAGCGGTTTCCTGGAGGACTGGTCGTGGTCCAAGTTTAGTTACAGTTATATTTGGTAGGCGCTAAGCGGAGACTAGCTCAACGTGAGTTAGGCGGAGGTGATCGCCCAGGCAGCGGGGCATCTCGGCAGCTAGGCGCCTAGGCAGCTAGGCACCTCGGCACCTGGGCAGCTCGGCCAGAGGGTTCAGCCGAGGGGACCATAGCCTGGAGGTGGCTTCATGGCCAAGTCACAAGGAAGTTGTAGTGATGAGGACTCTAATGTTTTGGATATATTTGACCCAAATTAAAGATAAACACGAGGAAGACTTCTAGACCGACATGAACTCTTCGACCTGTACATGGCCTCACCTATAAAAGGGCACAAGTTCATTCATTTTACACAACACACACACACACACACACACACATTATCTCGTTACTCTGTCGTTTTCTCTCCGAAACACCACCACTGACTTGAGCGTCGTAGTGTCTACGCCGGGAACACCCCCGACGTGTTTTGCAGGTACCTACGATCAAGGAGGCTCAATCCAATTCGAGAGGAGCGGTCGAGCGATTCAAGAGTTTGTGGTACAACACATCTTATAATATAATATTCTCTAAATAAATATATCCCGTGCCTCGCACGGGTCATGTATTATATATCCCGTACAATTTATTTTATTCATGCATATAATTATAAGCTTGAATAAATAGCCTTAAAATTGTGCACCCCTTCTGAACAAGTATATTATTGACAGTAAAATTGACAGTAAAAGAAGATTACAGTTGTGATTTGACTCTAATTTGAAAGCTGGCCTATTTGAGTCGTGTATTTAATGCAGAGTGATACAAGGTAATTAAATAATACCGCGGTATTATTTGTTAGTGAAAAAGTTCCAGTAAATTGAATAATAATGTTACCATACCAAGAAAAATTGCAGATTGTCTTTCACGAGCAAGTATAACCTCCTCTGAGATTGGATCCACATTACAGAGTTACTGTGTGTACGTATATATCCGTGTGTGTATATATATACATATAACACGACTATTCTATCCTCTTCTCTCTCTGGCTGTTCACTTTCACTCGTACTCTCTGAAAGAGAGCCAAAGCAGCGTAAGGTATTCGAGGGAATTGTGAGGAGAAGTGTGTTCTTGTGAGTGGGTATAATATAAAATGAGGAGCTAAGACTAGGAATAAATCTCGGTCTCTTGAGAAATTCATGTAAACCCGCTGCAGAATAGGCTGAAATTCGAGGATTGTTATTTTATTGAATTTCGCATTTTTCAAGGTATACACTGAATATCTAAAGCTGTTGCTAGCTTTACTGTGTCTGCTTTCGCTTGTTTTCTGTTTTGATTTTTTTTTTTTTCATTCATTTGTTCGGAGATTCCTTTTTCATCGACGCTGTTCATCCAAAGGGTTTTTTTTTTGGGGCACTCGTTTCTGGTTGTGTTCTTATTTCCTCGGTTGATCGAAGTGAGCTGATTCGCAGTTCCAGTTCTGCTTGCTTATCCTTAATTTCTTGGTGATTAAGGCAAGAACATGTCTCCGGAACTTGTCATCTAAAAAATTGTTTGTTCTAGAGATGTATATGCACTTTATATATTTTATCATTTATCGATATTTTAAATTATGTTAGAATTTTCTGTATTCTGCCTTTTAGTTCAAGGTGTCACATGTACACTGTATAAAGACCTAAAAGTTCTTTTCTCTTATATTAGTGTCACAATTGCTTTCTCAATGTCGTAGGATCTGGTATTGCATTTACTTTTTTGGGATCTATTATGAGATTTTTTTGGAACAGATCTAATCCAGGGGACAGTGTTCTCTTGTTTATCACCAGCCTCGTCGTTTCGTTTTATAATAGCTTTGTTGGTTATCATGTTTCTATTGCTTTGTTTCATTTCGGTCTCAAGCCTCATATAATATTCCCTGTTTTGGTGGGGTTTTTAAGGTTGTGAAAATGTCGAGACCTCTCCATCGAGGTGTGTTGGGTGGTGGTGGTCGGTTTTCAGGCAACAGTCATGATTTGTGGGAGGATTCTCAGATGAAAGAGAAGTCAGAGAAAGAAGATGTTGACCGGAATCGTACAAACGGAGTCGATCATCAGCATTTATCTTTCAAATTTCCATTTCGGCATCTATTCGCAAACAGTGTATCTTCAAAGAATGGTTTGAGTGAGAACAGTTTCGTGTCTGACCCTTTTAGCCTCGCGCCCCTCAGAAGCCGCCACAAATTGACACTCTCTTTGCTCAAATTCAGTTTAGTGGTAATTGTGGTTCTTGCTGTAATGGGCTCCCTCTGGTGGACACTCTCGATAACATCAATATCGAGAGGACATATTTATCACGGGTACAGACGGCTTCAACAGCAGCTGGTCTCGGACCTTTATGAAATTGTGGAGCTCACAATTGGTTCATCAAGATTTAGGGAATTGGAGTATTGTTCTCAAGATCCAGGAAACTATGTACCGTGCTTCAATGTTTCGGAAAATCCGGCTTTGGGATTTTCTGATGGTGAGGAGTATGGTTGGCATTGTGGGCCGGCTTCGAGTAGTAATTGCTTAGTGATGCCACCTGTCAATTACAGAAGTCCCCTCCGGTGGCCTGTTGGGAGGGATGTCATCTGGTTTGCAAATGTTAACATTACGGCTCAGGAGGTGCTGTCCTCTGGAAGTTTGACCAAAAGGTGAGTGGACAATT